ACACCTAAAAATTGCACTGCCCATGGTACAACTGTTTACCAATTGTAGAATGATTTAAACAAGATAACAATATCAGGAAATTGAACAGTACGGATAATTCTCCTCTCCTTATTTGGTGTGTAAGCTTTTATTGAGATAATTTGCGCTTTTAGTGCAGTTTCTGGATTGAGATTAAGGTATTTAAATTGGATAGATACTTTGCGCTGTTAGTGCAGTTTCAAACTTATATTTACTTGGTTAAATATAACCACAGTTAGTAAAAATACATATCAGTGGAAAATTGATTAAATCATCACCATTATGTAACACCAAATTTAACTTACACAACAACCACTGACAATTGTAGTTTCTGTGGCTGTGGCCTTCTAGTCCTAGACACTTTGTCCCAGTAACCAATCATCACTTCTTTCAAAGGAGATTAAAAATCCCACTTTATGCACTCTCCTTTACATAATAATTCTTCAATCTAGACATCCCAAGATATAAAATCAAATAAAAAAGTATAAATTCAAAGGTTAAATATGTGTTGGCCACTTAGAATATCACTGGTGCTTATTTTAATTCACAGCTTCTAAAATTAAATGTTCCTGTCTCTGTATTTTTCAAATACCAAAGTTCAGCTCCTAAAGTTGACACTTTTCCTCCTATAGACTCTAGAGAGGGATTACAATCACATCATTATGTTTTAAAAATGAATAAGTTTTTCATGGAGATAAAACAAAGAATTGTGTTTTTTAAGTATAAAAACATTGTCAATCCAAGTTCATACATTTCAGAAAAGAAAATCAGTTGCAGGACCTCCAATTATGCACCAATTTCAGAAGAACCTGAATTTCACAGAACCAACAAACAGATGAAGAAAGAGAAACCAACGAAGAGACCCAGACAAACTCACAAAGATATGCAACACGAGGCTCCTCCTTTCCAAGCAAGTTGGCCACTCGAAGGAACCTTTGAATTTCAGAAGCAAAAACTGTTGGCAACCTTTCACTGTCAAAGGGTTCTGGAGCATATTCCTGGTTGTTGCTGCCATTGGTAATGGCCAAAGTGACATGGGGTGCCTCAGATGTCGATGCTGATGCTGTTGATGTCTCTCCTCGCTCGAAATAGATGCCTTCAATGGGTTCTGCGGGCACAATCTCTGACATTGCTCTGAACTAAGAAACCAGCAAAAGGGTGATGACACGCATGCATGGTATATATGTTGAATCTTCTCCATAGTGTTTGCTTAGTGAGGTAAGCTTTGGTGCACTTTGCTTTGTGGACTAATTGGAAAGTTGAATGCATTCTTTTACTTTTTCTTTTGGAGCTGTTTCTGATTTTGTTTTAGCTTTAGAGGGAGTATGTGCGCTTTGCTTTGTGCACTGATTGCAAAGCTTAATGCCTTCTTTTGCTTTTGCTTTTGGAGCTGTTTTTGTTTTGGCTGTAGCATTCTTTCCCTCTAAGAAGAGAAGGAGGGAAAAAACATAAACAAAGACACGTGTTCCTCACTCACTGCTTTCTTTACCAAACTGTGAAGACTTATTGCATGGTCACAACTACGTTGTTAATTCTGAATATATAACATTATACTGGGTCCTGTAACGTGACATGTTTTCCCATAACAAATTTCTTAATGCTTAAGAAAGTAAAGTGCATGAAATTTAAAAATACTTAATTCATCAAAGAAAAAAGTGGCCAGAACTTTTTGCTAGCGATATTGTAATCCACCCCACTATAGTAATCTTGTTTGCTTCATGCAAATTGTTCTATAATCAAGGCTCACTGAATGTCACATGTGAGACAAATGTTATTTGCACAACAAATTTTACAAGGGGAGAAAAAAGGGAACAAGAGAGAAAAATATTGCTGTGTATAAATTATTGTATGATTTGTTGTATAACACAATTCAAAATTTAAATGGAAAGCATCACAGCTTATTAAAATGACAAAAAAAAAATATAAACATTAAAAAAATTGCAAGGGTATTACAAAGAACACACAAAAATACCTTAGGTCTCTAAAGTGAGCAAATGATAGCTTCTCTCTTGATTAATTAACATAAACACTGAAAGTTAAAATTTAAAATTGCATGACATTTGGTTGAAGTTTTATTACCTTTCCAGCGAGGTATTAAGGTCACCATCCTAACAATGTAGTTTCTGCTGTTCTTATCAATATTATAATTTTGAAAGTCTTGGAGAGAGTGAGTTTCCATGACAGAATGTCTTTATATTGGGACATCTAATCATGAGCACTGTTTGAAATGTCAGAAACTTCAAGTTGCAACTCTGAAGAGTCAAGAGTCTGAATGAAAATGAGCAAGGTAAGCAATATATACAGAAAAAACCTCACAAACAAATTATCTTAAGGTTTTAAGTAGAAGGTGTGGGTTGAAACCCAATGCCTAGGTGATCATCTTTATTACCAATTTGATGATAGACTAATCAGATCTAATGGAACAACTAAAGAGAACAAGTTTCTACAAGAAATCATTCACCTTATGGAAGTATAAGGAGAAATTTAAGAAGGGAAGGAGCTACTTCTACCATTACCAAACCTATAGAGTAAGAGTCTTCAGATGGTACAAATTTGAGAACAAATTCTCTACAATCTAATTAGGGTACTGTTCTTTTACCCTCTACACATAAGAGTAATTTAATGTAAAAGTTGTTTATGTTGTGAATTAATCGTATCCAAACGTCCAAGGAATTCAATCTTGCTTTCACTTGCACTTCGATTAGAATTTCATACATGGTGCACTCATACAATCTGTCTTCTAGTTTCTTTTTTGGTTTTAGCAACAAAACAGTGGAAGCATAGATACAATGGCTGAAGTGCACAGACTGAAGTGGTGAATTAAAAAAAATGTACGAATGACAATTACAATGAAATGTAAAGAACAAAGAGTAACGTGGAGAAAAATAAATTAACAAAGGGAAGTAAAAGAACTTGTAAATTAAACTTGAGAGTGGTGACCCAAATTGCAACAACTAATATATACTAGATTAATCATTTTTCTGTTTGCGGAATTTCTCACTATGTATGTATTGTTCCACAATTTATTATCATTGTAAAATACAAAATAAACCTATTTATATCTTTTTATCCTTACTTAGACAGTTACAAGATTTTGAATTTGAAATTTGATCAACCATGTACTCCTATAATTGTTCTAACAACTACTTTTAGCAATTTTGGAGTTCACATGTCTTGAGTGGTTATCTTGAGTGGTTAAATAGTTGTATCATTTCTTCTTTTTTCTCTCACGTAATATGGGGTAAATAGTCTCCTTCTAACGAGTTATAGGCTCGTCTTTGTATGACGTGTGGTTTGAGTTTATGATTTTTATTGAAAAATATATTTAAACTTATAATGTGGTGAAAACTATTGTTATTGTTTACGTTGGCTTACCCTTTCTGTTTTGTGGTTTCCCTTTACAATGATTGTATTTTTACATAAGCAAATAATAGTATTGGTGTTGAGAAAGATGCACAACACTAGATAGAATGGTCAATATCGAGAGACATTTGGGATAATATTAGTCTTATGTTTTTTCCGTTTCATGAAGTTTGTTTATAAAACAATTTTTTCTTGAAGATTTTCAATAAAATAGGAATGAAGTTATTTTAAATCATGTAATTTGTGTTAATGATATATTTTAGGAAGCGAAAATAAAATTGGAGTTCTACATTGTTACATTTTGGTATAGAGTAGTTAGGTCTCAGTGTTACGTGGGAAGTGAGCTTATTGTGCTTTTATTGTGCAATGTCTCTTTGAATATGAATATGTTGTTGTGTTTGTTTAACTATAACATTTTTAGTGTTTCTCTTAAGTGTTTTTAAAGAAAAATATAAGAAGAAGATTTTTTTTTTTCATTTACAATTTTGGGGATTAGTTTTTTGTGGGGAAATGTGAGATCCTAAAAATTTTAATATTTAGAAAAATATATAAATATGGTTAAATATTTTAAGTAAATAGATAAAATGATTTGTTATTTATGATTTTAGAGGATATATTTTATTTAAAAGATATTCTAAGAAATAGTATTTGGTTTATAATTATTCAATTAATAATATAGTAATTGATGTTCTAAGAAATAAGATTTGGTGAATAATGTCAATCACACAAGCAAACGGTTTCTCAAAAGAGAAATAAAATGTGACAATTATTACATAGATGATCAACAAGTCAAAATTGGATTTTTTTACTGATAATTGTTTGATGCAAGGCAAGCTCGAACCATGAAAATATGAGATATTGACTAGATGGATTTTATACAAGATGTGCAGGATAAGGTCTGTGGCATAAAAAATATCCCAAAGAACACACTGTCGAGCTCGATATAACACAGGATGAGGCCTCTGGCATCATAAATACCTCAAACATTTAGCTTTTATTATACATTCAAGCATGAGTGTCCAACCATGAACCTACATGGAAAATATTCCAAGTATCTTTTGAGTGTCCAACCATTGACATACTTGAAAAAATACTTCAAATATCTTATGAACGTCCGACCTTAAACTCACTTGAAAAACACTACAAATACCTTATGAGTAACTGATTATCAACTTACTAAAAAAATATGAGTATAAATTAAGTGTTTTAAAGCATGACAATATAAGAGCCCAAGTACACTTTGACTATGAGCTAAAGGTTACATACAACTTGTCCTAAGAGATAAAATTAACATATAAAACTAAGTATAAAGCTAAAAGCAACATATTAGCTCGTTCATTTAATAACTTGGTTCACGTGCAAAAGTTATTAGCTTTTGAGCTCAAAGGTTATATACATACCTAACCCAAAATATATTAGTAAACAAGAAATCTAAGTATGACATTTGTATGAAATATTAACACTCACGAAATCAAAAAAATATGATATTTATGATAATATAAATAGAATCCAGATTATTATATGATAATACATTTTTATATCTTAATTAGTAATTTGCTTCCTATATTTAGGCCTTTGAGTATTAGAACCACTCTTGATACTCAGCAACCTTAGCCGGTATTTCCTTTGAGTATTCGAACCACTCTTGCTACTTAGCAACCTTGTCAAGATTCCTTAACTCAAACAGAGTTCAGTTATAAGTATTTTAATTCTCTTCAGAATTGTAATCAATGATTGCTTACAAGCTGTTAAAACTATATATCTCGTAGAGAGGATTTGATTACAATGCAATACAGTCTAAACACTCGCAGATATTCTCCCTTTCTCTCTTACAACAACAGTAAGCAATATGACAATGAAGTGCGAGAGTATCTCTTTCTCTTTTTCTCTTCTCTTCTCTTCTCTTCAGCTCAAATATCTTCTTTTTCTTGAGATCTTTCTCTTTTGCTTCTCAGAATGAATATTTATAAGTTTTTCTTCACTATGTTATCCTTTTAAGCTATCTTCTTGGTTTTCTTCTTAAGATATCTTCTATTTATAAGTTTAATGAATATTTGTCCGTTAGATTAAGCTTATAGCCTTGATACTCGTTCTTTCTCTTTCTTCTTTGCACAACAGCCGTTGGGAAAGTCAACTTGTCAGAGGAAGCATATTTTTTCAGTCCTTTGCTTGAAGTAGGTTGTACTCCAAGTCTTCCAAGCAGTACCCAATCTACGGGAACAATACCAATAAATTATTCATCTCTTCCTCCACTAAAAATAATATTAATAATAACAAGCCACCACAGATTTGGTTTAAAAGAACACTGAATTATATGTTCCTGTATATAATCAAAGTATATAATATACGAAACAATGGAATAGAATAAACAGTAAAGTTCAGGATATAACGTTATATTATCTGATTGCTTTCAGGACTCTCGGGTGTGAGTGTGGAAGTAGAAAAGAAAAGACCTTAATTCCAATATAGTAGTATTGGCATTTCTCATCTTTACTCAGCGTCACTTGAATGAATCCTACTCCAGAGGATTACAAGTATAGCCTAATTGAATATTTATAAAAAGTTGCACCTGCAAATAGTTATCACAGTACTTAGTAGCTGCCAAAACTTGTAACCACAGAAGATCATGGCATAAATGAAGCTTCGATTAAAACAGTTGCTTTGTCAGTTCAAGAAAAAGGGGAAAGAGTAGAATTAGATGCAATGCAATGTTTAAAATTGTCAACATGCATATTCTACCTAAGAACTGACTTCATACTTCAAAAGTTATTTTAACTGTAAAAAGTATATAGCACGGCAAACCAGTGCCCTCGTCTTATTATGAGTAGAGGGTTACAGTTAAACATCATAGGAAAACAACAAAGTTTTGTCAAAACAGAAAAACCTTTGTTACCACGAAGGTGAACTGTAAATTGATACAACACACTAGAAAGCATTCTCAGTTCAGACATAAATACATATATACGTGCATGCATATATAAATGAATCGTTGGAGAGGCCGCAAACAAAGATCAAAGAAATATTTTACAGGTAAAATTATACGAGAAACCACTTTAAACTAAGCTTCATACTCTTTTTTATACAAGTAATCAAATCTCTTTAATACGTAATCAAATCAATAAACAATAATATACACAAAATTCTTGACAAAATTATAAACAATTAAACATGTATAGTCCCCACTGGCCATTTAAAACATGCCCTGAGTATCACCAGGACTCCAACACCAATGAAATCCCTCAATTTCAACTATTTCAAGCACATTTCAGAATTTCACATTCCTGGTTATCTCACTAAACCCTAAACAATTTTTATGATAAAATAAAAATCAGAAAAAATAATTGATATTATATTCCCTAACCAAACACATTTTAAACTTTGACCAACTCTAACACTTACGTGGTCAGTACTTATCCATACAGTAGTTGAGGTTTGAGGAATTGATGATCAAGAATGCTGAAACGCACACATTAAGTAGTGTGTTGAGTGCGCTAATGATCTTTTTCTTAGACGTCATTACAACAGGTGCATCCAAGAATCTTTGGTTGAAAATGAAGCCAGCTCGGCTACACAATGATGACGATGCACCAACAAAGAAGTAATGTTCATAAAAGAAAGAAACGAAGACTGTCAGTCAGCACCGACAATGACACAACCACTGCATTTCCCTATCCATGGTCAGTATTGTGGCTTTCATTTCTTCAATATTATCATGTGATTGATCCCCTGCAAGAAACAGATGAACCTTATCTTTCATTGTAATCCAACTACAACCTGGATTTTTTTTTATTCCTTTAAAGTTTTTGGTCTTTCTTACTAAATCACTGTCAATCTTTTCCCCAGAAGCAGAATACATGTTAGATAATACCACATAAGGAGTTGCATTTTTAGGCTCCAGCTCAGTAATGTGTTGAGCTGCAAGCTTAGCAAGGTCGAGACGGAGGTAAGTATTGCTTGCACCAAGAATAGCCCCCCAAACACCAGAATGGGGCTTAAATGGCATTGAACGGATTAGATCAACAGCTTCATCAAGCAAAACTGCACGGCCAAGGAGATCGACAATGCAAGCATAATGATCAGCTTCTGGATCAATTCCATAACGTGATTTCATGGAGTTAAATAAGTTCCATCCCTCTTCAACTAATCCTGCATGAGTACAGGCTGAAAGAACAGCAAGGAAAGTAACATGGTTGGCTTCATGACCTTCACTCTGCATTTTTCTATAGATACCGAGAGCCTCTTTGCCAAAACCATTTTGTCCAAACCCATTGATGATTGAGTTATAAGAGATGACATTTGGTTCAATGACATCTAAGAAAATCCTGTGGGCATCAATCACATTCCCACACTTGGAGTAAAATGATATAAGAGAGTTTTGTACAGACAAATGATACTCTAGGTTCATTTTCAGAATACAAGTATGAATCTGTAGCCCTTCATTTAAAGCCACAAAAGCAGCTGAAGCTGCGAGGACACTACTAATAGTTAAAGGATTTGGCATGCATTCCCAAATCATCCGAGCATACCAATGCAAAGCTTCCTCATACTCCTTATTATTTACAAACCCAGATATAATAGTCGTCCAAACAAAATCATCCTTCACTGGCAACATATTAAAAAGATGTATGGCATTTCCAATTCTTCCACTTTTAGTAAAACCTGTGATCATGGAAGTCCAAGAGATCAAGTTTTTCTCTGGCATACTCTCGAAAACCCTATACGCAGCTTCCACTTCATTGTTATGAACGTATCCAGAAATTAAAGAATTCCAAGTAAATAAATCTTTGTCGCTCAATATACAAAATACTTTGTCTGCCATGTCTGTGAAACCAAACATGCAATACATAGTAATCATGGAGTTACTCAAAACACTTTCCAAATCAAATCCCAAGCGTGAAACCAACCCATGTATCTGCATGCCCTCTGGCATTCTACAATAATTCCCGCACGCTTTAAACATGATAGTCACTGTGGTGGAATTAACATCAACCAGACCTTCCCTCCTCATATCAGTAAACAAGGAAAAACCCTCTTGAAAGAAACTTTTCCCCATGTACCCATCTATCATTGCACTCCAAGAAACCACGTTCCTTTCAGGCATCCTGTCAAACAGCTCCCTGGCAGCTGCAACCCTCCCATCCCTGCACAAACCATCAACCATGGAACTCCAAGAAACAACATCCCTCTCAACCATGTTCTCAAAAACCTGCAACGCCTCATTCACTTCACCTGCCTTCAAATATCCATTTATCAACGCATTTGAACAAGCAGGGTCCCGGAACTCATGAGGAGCCTGAAGGTACAGTTCCTCAGCCATGTGGAACTTCCCTGCCTTCACAAAACCCGTGATCATGGCAGCATATGAGACCAAGTTGCGTTCAGACAACACTGANAGTTTTTCTCTGGCATACTCTCGAAAACCCTATACGCAGCTTCCACTTCATTGTTATGAACGTATCCAGAAATTAAAGAATTCCAAGTAATTATATCTTTGTCGCTCAATATACAAAATACTTTGTCTGCCATGTCTGTGCAACCAAACATGCAATACATAGTAATCATGGAGTTACTCAAAACACTTTCCAACTCAAATCCCAAGCGTGAAACCAACCCATGTATCTGCATGCCCTCTGGCATTCTACAATAATTCCCGCACGCTTTAAACATGATAGTCACTGTGGTGGAATTAACATCAACCAGACCTTCCCTCCTCATATCCGTAAACAAGGAAAAACCCTCTTGAAAGAAACCTTTCCCCATGTACCCATCTATCATTGCACTCCAAGAAACCACGTTCCTTTCAGGCATCCTGTCAAACAGCTCCCTGGCAGCTGCAACCCTCCCATCCCTGCACAACCCATCAACCATGGCACTCCAAGAAACCACATCCCTCTCAACCATGTTCTCAAAAACCTGCAACGCCTCATTCACTTCACCTGCCTTCAAATATCCATTTATCAACGCATTTGAGCAAGCAGGGTCCCGGAACTCATGTGGAGCCTGAAGGTACAGTTCCTCAGCCATGTGGAACTTCCCTGCCTTCACAAAACCCGTGATCATGGCAGCATATGAGACCAAGTTGCGTTCAGACAACACTAAAAACAGCTCATAAGCTTTGGCCACGTTGCAACCATTGCGAATATAAGCCGATATCATTGCGTTATATGAGACCGTAGATCGTTGAGGCGTTTGATCGAACGCTTTGCGGGCGTTTTCTATTTGGCCATTTTGGGCGTAGACAGTGAGCATGGCAGTCCAAGAAGCAGTGTTCTTCACGGGCATCATGTGGAATACCAATTCTGCCTCATTAACGTTGCCATTTCTTCCATTCTCTGCTATCTGTTTGTTGCACTGAATCAAAAGTTTGCTGTCTCTAACAACTCTATTTATGGAGTCACTAGGTTTCGGATTATGCTTGAATTGAAATTGCTTCAACTTAGTAATTCGTTGCTGTAAACTTCTGAAGTTCTGCTTCATATTCTACAGCAAATTCGGGGAAGATAGATAATTAAGAGAAAGTTGAAACATGAAGGGTAAACATACTCCTTGCAGTCACAAATTAACAAAAATAGTTAATTCAATTAAATTTTAAGAACACTGTATGTATACAAAATATAAATAAATCATAATATTTAATAGAAATAAAATAACGTTAGAAGATCTAAAATGTGTCTTAAAATTAAAACCCACGGGAGTAAGAAGATCCAAAAGAATAATAAGTTTGTTTTTTTTTATTAACAAAAATTAAAATTAACAGAGAGTAGTTTTAATCTTTTTACTTAAACACAAAGTTCATATCTTCTAAAAGTTCCTAAAACAAACTCTAAGGTATATAACATTAATCAAAACCTGCAACAAATTGCACAATAGCCTTCTAAAAAAAACTAAGTTCATTGTATGAACATTTTCTAATGAAAAGAAAAAATATACAGATATGTACCAAAGAGCTAAACATAATATAATAAAACATAACATCCTCTTAAAAGATACTATCACCACAAAATATCTCTTTATATTCGTTTTTGTGTTTCAACTATTAGATACTTCTTATGATGTAAAGACATATTTTTGGAGCATCACATACCATCTTCATTGCATGAGTATAGCAACATTGTGTTTTCCATTATTCTCGTTAATTGTGAACCTTCAGTTTGGCTAATAATGATAACATACATTTCCTACAAAGGAGATGTATTTTGCCTTCTATCTAGTTAGTCACTTCCTGACCTTTTTACTGCCTTTTCCACATTTTGTAGCTTCTAAGATTACCTCCTGTTCAGTCCCAAGTAAATAAAAGATAGTGTCATGATCTTACAATTCATCGTTTCTACATATATTGCTAACATATTTTCTTCTACTCCCACTCTTCCTATCTTAGTTTTTGAGAAATTCATCTTTAGTCTAGTCTCAAGCTTAAAACACCTCAAAATGCTCTCAATAACCATAATATTGTGTTTTTCCTGACATATACATAAAGTGTCGTCCGCAAATTATAACATATTCACTATTGCCTTCCTTTTCCCTACCTTAACTCCTTATGATAATTGTTTATTTGTCATCCTCACCATTCCACCAAATTAGGAACAAGAAAGGAGATAAAGAGTCTCCTTCCTAAGACCTTTTACTAGAATAAATTCTTTTGTTGGACTACCAATTACAAGAATTGAGATTATGGCATACTCCAAACACTCTTTTATCCCATTCATCCATTTGTTACTAAAACCCATTATTTCCATCATGTAGTCAACCTTAACAATCAAAAGAATGCTCAATTGTATCTTGTAATATTAGTCGTATAGGAAAACTTAATTGATCAAGAACTGAGTGTGTTTTGCGCTATCAAGATATATAATTTTAAGAAAACTAAAAATAAAAAGCAACTAAACTCTAAAGCAGTATCATTTCTTGCATCCAACTAGGGTTGAGGAAATGAGGAAAAATCATAATGTTCATATATATATATATATATATATATATATATATATAGGTTTGGTAAATGGAGAAAAAGTAAACTAAAGATAAAATTAAAAGGTTTACAAATTAATTACAAAGTAATCCATCTTATATCTTCTGTTTTCTTACATAGTACTTTATTAACTAATTTGAGAAAAGTACATCACTTGGCCCTTGTGCCAAATAATCAGTGTCTCTATATTGTTGCTGCAAGAAAAGTCTATAGCACAGCTGAAAGTCTTCAATATAACTTGCTTCTTCATATTCCATTGGTGCATGCTCCATCATCTCATCTCCACAAGGCATCCATGAATTCATCTCATCAAAGGGCAAGGAAGAGATGATGTTCATCTCAGTCCAATGATCAGCCTTGCTGTCTGACGTGGAGCAATCTTGATCATCTATTTGAGCTATTTCGGTGTCACTGATCTCTGCCTCCAATGACTGAATCATGCTCACAAGTCTATCATCACCATGATAATACTCTTCTTCCTGTGTTTCTTCCATCAGTGCCATGAGAAGAACATTGTTGGCCTCTGAGAACTCCACGCCCAACTCAAACACACACTCTGAGGAAGACATGTTTGTGAAAAAAAAGGAGTTTTTGAGTAACCCTTTTGTCTTTGGTTTATGAAAATGGTTAAAGTGAGAGCAATTAAGGTTGTTGCAAATGCAAGATGAGTTTGAAAGGTTAAAAAGGGACCTTTATATAAACAAATAATAGCCCTTGCTTGTTGCCACTCTATATATGAAAGATAAATTATGCAGTGAGAAGATAAGATTCATATAATTGTGGAAAAAATTAATACTTTTGTCCCATTTGTGTCTACTTGTCGAGCAACAAATCAAGCCATTCCAGCTCATGAGCAATATCTGATATCTGACAACCTAATTAATGGTTGCATCAAAATCAGAAACTAGACATAATATGTGTGTGTATTTGTACTTTGTGACCAATAATTAAGTAACATGCACGAGATATTAAAAAAACAATAAATGCATATGAACAGTGTTTTGAACAGACAAAGATATATACGATTGATACTGAAAGGCAAAACATGATAGAAATCAAGGAGGAATTGATTTTGATTTGTCAATGGAGTGTATGAGGCTGATGTATAAGTTACAGCAGACTAAAAATCAAAGAAAAAAAAACAAAGCATCATAGTTACTGCAGATTTCATATTTATTAACGTACATATAAGTACCTGAACCTAATAAATTAGACTCGTGTGTATAATATTTAATGCAGAATTATGATGGAAAACTTTATAGTTAATCATGCAATTAAATCCTTATGGCTATGAAAATCATCATAACCTTTATATGTTTCTCATCGAAAGCAAGTTTTGTTAGATTTATGAATCAGATCAATAAATAATGAACAATAATTTTTTATTAAAGAAACCGTGCCTAAATTCTTATAAGACAGAAAACGGAAATTTATCTGAAAGATTAATCATTAGGAACAATTATATAAAGGGTTAGTCTTATTCAATAAATCTCTTTTAAGTTATTCAACTAGCAATTTCTCCTTTGTTGCAAGTTTCATTGACAATTAATAGTCATTAACCATAAAAAAATTCTCATTGTTTGATTTTGTTCCATTTATAAGAAACTAAACTATGAAACAAAAAACTTTTACAAAAGTAATGTTATAACTTTTATAATATTCAATTAGTATATAACAATTATGATTAGCATGTTTTCATTAGCAAACCAATTATTAAATAGGAGTAAAAGACAAATTCAATATATATATTCTAAGGTTAGAAATCACGCTTAAATTAATTGTTTGCATGAAAGTTATATGGTAATAATTTTTTATTTTTGTTATCTTAATGTAATAAACAAAATAATTCTTTTGAATGTGAGTATTATGTCATATATTAGATCAAAAGTATCGTTAGACATGATTCATATATAATTAAAAAGAGGTATGTAAACACTTATAACTAGTGTGTAAATTATATAATCTGAAGAACTCTGTTTATGTTAACATTGTATCATTGTTTTAGATATTAATTTGGTGATTCCTCACCAATATCAAAACACATGATTGAAATAAGAAAAGAATAGACAAGCTATCTCTTAAACATTTAATAAAATTAGATTTTTACTAGTTTTTTCTTTTAAGTTAATTATCTTTTTTATTCCTTATATATTCATTTTTTATTTTATAAAATATATTATAAATGCTATATTTGAAATATATATCTTGTTACCGATATTTTCGAATTTTTAAGTTTTGGTTTTATATCAAAATCAATTCAATTTAAAAAAAAACTATAAAATTTATGTTTATTATAACATTAATAAACATAAATTTACGTTTATTGGTATCAACTGATGTAAATTAATGTTTGTTCATGTGATAACATACCTAAATTTCGATACAGGTAAACAAAAACTTTTGTCGATTGTTTGTATATCAAACATAAATTTATGTATATTATAGATTAAATATAAATTTATATATGTTGTTTTCTTTCAACATAATACCAGACATAGTCTTTTGTGTGAGTAACAATATAGTTATAGGAATAGAAAAATTGCAACAAATTCAGATAAGTTAGATTATAAAGAAATTTAAAGGATTTGACTTTGATAATACACTTTAAGGTAACAATAACCCACGGAAGTTCATTCATAAAAGAATTCATAGTAACAAAATGTGCATAAAAGCCCTATGGACAAGGTTTAGTTTGAGTTAAAAAAATAAATAAGTTGTTTAAAATTGAGAGCTTAAAAACGTTTGTTTTAAAGAATTTAGAAATCAAGATTTATGGTTTTTGTTTTTTCTCAATTTATTTTTTCGTTTTAATATGTTGTTCTTTTTTTTTCCTTATCATTTTCTTCTTCTAATACGTTTATTATATTGTTGTCAAAGGTAAATTTGATATTTTTTTTTTGTTTTGTTTTGTTTTGTAAAGTTTACTATTTTGTTTTGTAAAATTCAAAGTATATTGCGTATTGTTCTTTGTTTTAAAAGCAATTTGATGATTCGTTCTAACATTGATTTATTTCAATTTAATTCTATTTTCCCACGAAGGAAACACAAATTATTAATTTAATAAACTAAAATTATAAAAGCTAACAAGTCACTAGGAATTGATACGGTGAAGTTTATGTGATTCGCAGAATTCTTATTAATTCATATTATAAAAAAAAACAATATCTACTACTCAGGAATTAAATATCACTACTATCTATCTATCTCTCTCTCTCTATATTTCTTATATGCCAGTATGATCGAGTAACGGAGAGAAATTCATTCTAATTATTTTTCAGCTAGGTAATTACATGAAATTAAAGGAAGAAAAAGAACAAAAGATAAAAATAAAAAGTTTGGCATTAACATGTACTTAAAAGACACCTCCAAAAATTAATTATAAAGTAGCTAGAAAACCATGTTAATCATCTTCTCTTTCCAAGTATGATCTGCTATATGTTAATTAATTTGAGAAAAGTACATCACTTGGCCCTTGTTCAAAATAATTAGTTTCTCTATATTGTTGCTGCAAGAAAAGTCCATAGCACAGCTGAAAATCTTCAATATAACTTGCTTCTTCATATTCCATTGGTGCATGCTCCATCATCTCATCTCCACAAGGCATCCATGAATTCATCTCATCAAAGGGAAAGGAAGAGATGATGTTCATCTCAGCCCAATGATCAGCCTCACTGTCTGACGTGGAGCAATCTTGATCATCCATTTGAGCTATTTCGGTGTCACCGATCTCAGCCTCCAATGACTGAATCATACTCACAAGTCTATCATCACCATGATAATACTCTTCCTCCTGTGTTTCTTCCATCAGTGACATGAGAAGAACATTGTTGGCCTCTGAGAACTCCACGCCCAACTCAAACACACACTCTGAGGAAGACATGTTTGTGAAAAAAAGGAGTTTTTGAGTAACCCTTTTTTGTTTGGTTTATGAAAATGGTTAAAGTGAGAGCAATTAAGGTTGTTGGAGATGCAAGATGAGTTTGAAAGGTGAAGAAGGAACCTTTATATAGGCAAAAATAATATATGGTCACTAATTAATATATACATTAAAGGTGGAGTTGCTTTTTTGTTTTTCTTGTTGGTACTCTAGGTCAATAGATAAGATTCATAGAACTGTGGCTAAGGAAATATCTGTATAATTGTGATGAAAAAACTATTAATTGTTTGACCCACATTGATGTCTAGATGTGGAGCAACAGGGCATTGGGGTGGTCAATATATGGTATTAGGGTATAGCCATAATGCACCCACTAAAGGTTGCAACAGTGGGGCATCAGAAACCAGACAATATGCCCACCGAATGACCAATAATTAAGTAATGCAATATTTTTTTGAAAGGAATTTGTAGGAACCACCCATGATTAATACTTTTGTAGGAGTGTCGGCTATGGGTTGGAAACCTCAATGTGACGATGTTAGAGAAGGATGTGAAATGATTTGATTCTTGATTATAGGAAATTTCAATGTCAAAATTGTTGCATGTTGAAGAATGAAATTATCTTTTCTTCTGTAGACACCCTATAAAAGAGACCTCTATTATTATACTTGTAATGGAAATATAATAGAAAACGATAAAGGGGTGTATGGAATGAATACCCCACCCAACCATTGAGTTTCCTCGACCACAAACACTAGCTAGAATGTTGAGAGAGAATTATCAGAATTATAGTGGACCAGCACTAGCTACAAATCAAACTCAATATGTTCTACTGAGTCATGTCTTGTACGGCATCAAAGCTTACTATACCTGTCTGTATCTGTCATAAACTGTTATCTTTTCAAGTATATTTCATAACAAATACAACATATTATGACGGGATTTTTCTAGAGGGCTTCTTAAAGTGAGATAATTTGGGTGCAAGCTACAATTGTCAGAATTTTCGATCCAAAATTTTAAACAATAAATTTATCTACGTGGTGGTTGTTATAATTATATTATGTGTTATTTTTATTTATTATTTTAAGATAATAAGTTTATGAGTTTTTTTTATATAATTTACCGAATGATTAACAATTTACGAAACCGATCGAATGAGAGTGTTAGAGATACTCGATAGACCAAGTAGTCCACAAGTCGCAAGTCAAGAATAAGTAGTCCGTCAATCAAGTGATCAAGGAGGAAGGGAAGTCGAGCAGACATTCCGTAGCACCAACCACTCTTAAATATCACGTCAAATCAAGATTACGGATAAACATTGTTTAATGATTTTGGACTATGATTAAGGTTTTACTAATCTCAGATCAATCAAAGGTAAGAAGGTGGTGGATTCATTTATTGTGAATTTAAGATTTTACTCTGATATCATATTAGACTAATTATTGACTTGAGCATGAGAGTGCCTTTAACAGATATTCCGGACGGTTTAGAACGTGAACAAGGAAGGATTTGGGACTGAGATATATAGGTTACTTAAGTTAATTTGGAATAAAGTGTGAAGACGTGTTTTGTAGAGATTCTCGACCCTATATCCAAAACATATAGTATTTAGTTTTATTATTTTTAATCAATATGATAATTTTTTATATATAATATAAGGATAATTTTGATGTATGAGTTTTTGAATAGGATGCGGCAGTGGAATATGATATGTCAAGTGGGTGGTGGGAAAATAATTGTTGTGTGGTGCTTAAAATCTCTTTGGAAAGAAAAAGCTTGATTGAAGATGCGTCCAATACATGAACCACCGGCATGCACAGAAGGGACGTACGTTGAAGTAGTTCTTAGAGGGATATGCACACGAGGCACCCACGTGGGTGTTCGTTTGGTGTGAAACCAAAACTTGCACGACTAGTCCCATCTCCACGCAAGTTTACATTTATGATTACTTACCCATATATGTCTTCTTGTTTTAGGGAGAAAGTCTTTAATTCATGTGTTAGGTATTGCGTTTATTTCTATCATATGAAAATGAAATACTCAAAGATTTAGGTGTCTCTGTGCATGCTGGCCTGTAGCTTCGACAACTATGGATCATGTGGCCAACACGTTGTGGTTTAATGCTTGGGATTTGCAACAATTTTATAATTTGTGTTCTTAATGAATCCCCAACAGATTGGTTAATTTGTGTTCAACCTATGGCTTTCTTTTGTGAGCCCCAATAATGACGAAGGATGTTAAAAACAACATGGTGTTTCTAAATAGAAAGATTCAGGCAACAACCTAATAATGTTATTTCTTTGAAGAATTCTTAACCTTTTTCATCACTCATTTTGTTGCAAATAAGATTGATGTGGTGGATGATGGATTATCATTGAATATTTTTGGACATCTATTTATACTAGTATTTGGTCATCAAATATGTTTCTCTAATAAGACCCAAACTTTGGACATTAATTTAATCAATTCATAGTAACCAAATTCAAGTTGCAGTTGTTTCAATGTTGATTTTTTATTGATAGGAAACCCAATATCAAACAAAAACGAATATCAAGCCTATATAAAAATGACTTATTTTAACAATATATATAAATTGAAATCAAGATCATCAACACTTACCTATGGTATTGTCCTATCAAGTAGTATTGATAAGGTCACGTATCACATTATAAACCTAACACGTGGCAACACAAATTTTTATTAAAAAAATCACATATTAACACGTGTCACATCATTAATTGAGTTAGCATTTTTTTTAAATGATCTAATTGAGATATTTTTTTCAAAAATTGGAATACAATTAAAACAAAAATGAAAGTGGGACTAACTTCAAACTTTTCGGCGAAAACAGGGATTAGACGAGTAATTAAGCCATGTATAATATTATTTGATGAAATAGATAAATATTTTTATTAGTACTATAAAATAATGAACCAAGCCAATCCACTTTGATTGTACTGTAACAAATATATAAAATAAATAAAAAAACTAAATATTTTAAGTGAATCAACCCACAAACTTATTAACCCATGATGAGTCAATTCATCAAAATGTCAACTATTAAGTTGACTTATTTTTAGCTTAATCTATAGTGAACTAGTGAATTGGGTTCACTCATTCTAATATCCTTGTATAGCCCTATCTAAATTTTCAATCACAATTTCTAAATTTGCAATCACAATTTTAAAAATTGTGATCATCTTGATACAAAATATAGCTATTGTAACAACAAATTATTTTACCTGTTAACCAATGATAAAAAAAAATAAAATCTTTATTTTAATAATTTATTTACATTTTTAGTCAATATATATCTGGAGTAATTTTAATTTTGGTATTCAATTTTTTTTAAAAGTCCTTAAAAATTGAAAAAAAAAATATCATTCCAAATTAAGGGAACTAAAATGAGGTTTACATACTTCACTTAACATTTAGGATAAATATTTAGAATTTAAAATTATTTTTAATCCTCGAAATATATGTTTAAAGATTGAAACTTTTTTTTTCAAAAATTTAGGATCAAAACTAAAAGGTTTAATTAGTCGGATGGTTTCTATTTTAGTGGACGTATCCTAAATTTTAAAAAAACTATCGCAATTGACTTTCTAAATAATGTTTATACTTTACATATACTAAACATAAGGGCTCCTGGGATTTTCCTCTGAAATAGGAGTTCTAAGAAGTGGTAAAAAAAATTACAAAAAAGAAAATACTAATAAATAGTTAATATACTATTCACTATAACACCATTCATTTGTGATAGCTTTTGTTCATAGTTCAAACTTCAGTTCTAGTTATATAAAATGTCAAAAGTGGACTACATTTGCTATAGTTTTTTACTTTTCAAACTTGTAAAGTTGTAAAAATAAATATTAATGTCGAAAATTATCATTTTCCAATGTTAATTAACGTCGAAAAATGTAATTTCCAACGTCAATCAACGTTGTTTTTTTTCACGTTAATTAACGTCTCCTGATATGATATTGATATCTTTTTGGACGTTAAAGACAAAAAAACACCAAAGTCAAAGTTCTTTTTTGCACTAGTGAAAGTTCATCAAATCTTATATTTTTGTTTTGATTATGTTCTTAACACCAAAGTATAAAACATGATTATAAGTATTAAATCTGGGTAGATACAAGTGCTTCTTGTGGCCAGATAAACACACAACATTGTGTATGAATATTTCATCCAATAAATCTTTGCTTGGACGACCGATAAGTATACATAGTCTAAAGCGTTTATAGTAAATGTCAAACATTTATAAATGTTAGTTTTATGCTTGTAGACAATGTTTGTCTCTTCATTTCTTAGAAAAAGATCACGTAATGAATTGTCTACATAAAAAATATTCTGAGGAACGTGTTTATATTGCTCACACAAACAACTTTTTAGAAAGTGTAAAAGGACAATTTTGCAAAGACAATCAGTCTTGTTAGATCATGTGTTGTACTACACTGTGAGAAAAAGTTATTTGACCTAGATTTCATAAGTCATGTCATGTATAAGAGAATTGCATGCGTAAAGATTATATAATGATTTTATGTTGCATGAAGGGAATTTAATGAATCCCTAAGCATGAACATGGGGAGATGGAAGTCGAAGAAAAAGAACATTGCAAGACCTTTGATAAGAAAAACAACTACCTTGATTCGAGGACAAGGCAACCTCCTTGAAATTATAGAGATAAGGGGAGAGAAATAAATTTTTTCAACTACTATTCTCATTCATTCTGCTAAAATAAATACATGTATTGGTTATCAATCATTGGCTGACCGCATTTGGAGGAAATAGAAACTAACAAAGGAATATTCCCCTAACAGAACCTATGATCAAGTGACACCTCACAAAGATATCTTTATAATATGATTCTGTCAAACGTCTTCCTCAAAGCTGATAATCGAAAAGATTTTCTTACTCTCTCTTTTAGTCAGAATGGTGCTACTGGGCCTTATATCAGTATCGGCCCTATTGCTAAGTTGCAAGGCTGGAATGCTTTTGCTAACATTACCTACGTCAGGGAGAGTCACCTTGTTCTCAAGGTGAAAATACCTCCCAGCTTGCATCCTCGGGAGCAAGACCCATCCATTG